AGATGCGCTTCTCCATCGGTTTACGGCCATCACCAAGTACATTCTAAAACTTAAAGTGGAACCTCGCCTTTACAAGCCAAAAACAATATAACGAATTACTCTATATAACGTAGTATTTACTAGTGCATATGTATAGACTTGCCACTCACGAGAAAAGTGTTAAATTATATACTTGCAGGTGTCACAATTTGTAATGGTTAGTTGTTCAAAAAGATTCAAAAAGTACAAAGACTGGACATCTGGGGTTTCTTGTTAACATTAATTATCTAAAAAAAATAGTTTTACTATTTTTTACGCAATACTCATTATTGGATTATATAGCATGCATGCTTTCCTAATTTAATCAGATTTTATAGCAGACGTTCCTAATTTAATCAGTTTTTGGGGACGTCAGTTTAACCGGAGAACCCCTTATCCGGACTGGTCTCGGTCTCCCGATGAGTCCGAATTAGAGGGAGTCTCCTGTAATGTATTATTAGTTTGTATAGCACCAAATTGTATTCCTTAAAAGTATTTCTTGCTTGTTGGAATATGAAACCAAACCTACCTCAAAGCCAAACTAATCCTTATTAATTAAAGGAATACATGAAATAAGTAAAAACCTTTATAAAATATTGATGACTGCAGATTAATAAAATAAATCGCAATAAGAAATTGATTAATTACCAAGCAAAAAGAGTCTACGGCATCGTTTGATTATTTTCGGGACATAGAAGAACGAATCTGACTGATTTCGTTTCTCTGGTCTATATGCTATTAGGTCGACCATTACTAAAGATATTGGATTTGAATCACACAACGCCGAGGCAAAGGGGTATTTTAAGGCAAAGAAAAGTGAAGCATGAAGTTGAATGAATATGATCTTTGTTACAGAGAGATAAGCTGGCCAGAATCTCTAAAAGTACATTGATCACCAACAGCTGTGTCCCTTATAAATTTGGATAACAAACAGTATCGAACCTGCGTCCTTCTAATTACTTAGCGAGCACTTCTACTCAGCTAAACAACTAGGAAACTATTTTAGTCAATCAATGATGCTACTACACATAATTCATTTCCCTCTATTCCCCGGCCTTGCAAGATCTACCTTATATCTCGGCCTTAAACTTGTAAACTGCAATCGCTTTCCAGTCAGCAATGTACTCCAGTCGCCCACTCGTCTGCATTCCAGCCCGGGACATCGCACTGATTGCGTGTGCCCAGATAATAGACGTATGATAAAGTGAGCCTCCCTTTCAATCTCCAGGGTAGAATGAACTGTAGATCGTAGATATCTGGTGATCGGTCGCTTTACATCGAGGAATGTTTTAACACTTGATTGATAACTGGAGATTGTGGAGATGGGAATACGTGTCAAGAGGTTATTGAGGTTTGAATAGACAAGTTTGGAAGAGTAAATGGGCCCATGATGGAAAATTGTTTGGGTTGGACATAAACGTTTTTATCGGTGGAAATTATTTTGGAATGACATCGGCTTAATTTTTACGGTAACATCACGCATTTATAGTTTTACTGAAATATAACAATGGTAGGAACAGTATGACGCAAATTAGGAATAATTAATTGGATAGCTTCACAAAAGAATGGTAGCCAAAATAGTGAAGTGGCTTCTCTTTATTCTGTTGAAACTTTTAGTGCGTAGCAAATCATAGCCGATAAGCTTACAATTTTTTGAACCTCATATGTTAATTTTTCCTGGTATAAGAATGCTTGTTCGAAACGAAACGGCAGCTAGTTCAATCCTTAGATAAGTATTAATAAGTGGCTCTTTACTGGTTCAAAACTCTTCCCAGCTGTCCTTGCTCATTGGGCTTTATGTTCCTGGCTAAATAAACCCGCTGGTTTTGGTAAAAATAAGAAAAAGCTAAACATGTTATTATTACTTAATTCTACACTCATCTGTGATTCATACGCAGCTAAGTGGCGTTATGTAGTAATAAATGACAATAGTCTTAGTATACAATTGCTTGGGAAAATAATGAGTTTGGCCAAAGAACGAGGTAAACTACCTGTAGTTGTGTCATGCAACTGGAAATCTGAGGATAGAGAACAAACAACTGCAAATTATTTTGAACTAAAAGGTATCTATGGAAAAATATTACGTCTTAATTTTCAGATCACTTATTTTTTTTCGACCTTTGTACGTAAAGGAGCCAACAATGGTGAAGGTAAGCGCCCAAACATCTTATGTACGAGTCATGAAACAACATTGATATTGTTATTCCACGGTGAATCATTCTTTACTGTACATTAAATAGAATAACTCATATTTACAGCCGCTATAAATAACACTGCTTTATTCTCGGAACTTCTACGGCTACCAAACACTTTACGGCTTGCGTGTGACAATAAGTGCGTGTATTGTTTATTATGTAGCTGTAACTCCAAGGTTGTGACGAGAATCGTTGTTTTTTACGTGATATATTACAGAATAATGTACATCTGTCTTTAAGGATAATGTAAGCGTATAATACAACAACAAAAAATGGACTCAAATGCAGAATAGTGACAGAGACATTTCTGTGACATATAGTTGAAAAACCATATTAGACAATGACAATATGAGAAAACATATGGATCTCCAGGAATTTTAGTATAAAATAGATATGAAGGATTTAAATTTTTTGTGAAATATATATTTGTGTTTCCATGTAAATTAATGTTCTTTTTGCACACATGATAATTAATCAAAGTAAGGTACGCCATTGTTTTTAAATTTGTCCTTAGTTTCTTTGTCAATTTAAATTTAAGACTGCCCACCAAATTAATTTTGGGTCTTTCAATTCGTTGTTTTAAGTTTTTGTGTTCTCAACCAGCTTTAAAAGATAAATGAATTCAATATTTTACACTACTACTACTACCAACATATTTAAAGAGCTAAGTGCTTGTTGATTGGTATTTTTGTAAAATTTGCGATTCTTTCCATAAGTTTGTGATATCAAAGAAACAGTAACCTATTTGTCGTGTTCATCGTAGCAGCAAATTTAAGTACCCAATGATGGTTTTTACTGAGTCTGGGGGAACTTTTTTTAACGAATCCGCTTGAACCGAAATATCAAAAAGTTAATAATCGCTTAATGTTTGCTGTCACAAGGGCGATGTTATCTATATCTGCCTTATAATCGGTTTAATATTCTGGCATTCATCATTTTGTGAGAACCAGAATTTAAAAATAATAAATAATAATAAATTCTGGCTCTTCCTGAACGATGAACGCCTCTCTTCTCAACACTCGAGAGGATCGACTTGTGATGATTTACCCGCCACATTTCACTTGCTTCGCTCCTGTCCGCCATATCGGTGAAATATGGCGGCAAATGAAAGACGTTCGGGCAACCGTAAACACAACGTCCAATAAATCTCCCTCCCTGTCTACTTTAGCTGCTAGTTTCTAAAAATAAGTGATAACGTTAGTAATCAACCGGCACGTGTCGGAAGGTGCGAGAATCATGGCAAAAAGTGGACGATTAAACTAAATAAATTAGTTTGTATAGAATGGATATGTATATGGGCATTAGAGAAACCACTTTTAGTTCACTCGTCCGATTAAAAGAACGAGTCCTTAAAGTTAAAAACCTTTCTGCCAGTAACCTCCTTTGCATTTATCGAAAGAACTCATGTTTTGCAAAAAAAGTTTCTAAAATAACTTTAATTGCTACGTGCAGTTCCTATAGAACGCAGTCATCCTTTTACTGGGTGGTTTTTTTTCTGCAGTCTCCACAATCTTTGAGTACCAAGAGTCTCTATTTGTTTTAGTTGATCGGCGTTGACATAGAAGTAGTTTTGCGAATTTTCATTTGCAGCAGATACAATATTGTAAACTATATTTAGGAAACGTGTGCCAGGTGTTTACTAAATATGTCCCGAATTCGTAATTTAAAAACATTTGGGGCTTACAGGATATCCATACTTTGAATTCAACTCTCATCTATATAGGTATTCTTATATCTGTATTCAGTCAAGTCTCAGTACTAGATTACGTCAGGATGATAGCAAAACAACAGAACTATAATGCGTCTCTGTCCCATTTTCACTCTTGTGACCTTGAACCATTACAAATTAACAGGTGCATAATCAAACTGACGTCCATATCTCCCTGATAAACCTGACCACGCACAGCCGGCCAAAGTTCCCTTGATCCTCTCTTCCGCTCAAAACAGTTTTCTCGTTGGGCTATGATGGGCGGCACGAGCTCGGCAGACGAGACTCTAATTGTGTGGTGACGACCAGACCACACACCACACCACACACCACAGGACCTTGACTGGACCATTATAATGGTTACCTCCGAGCCGTCAACACCGGCCGAAACAGTAATTGCCGCCGCTCCACACTGCAAGCTTCTTTATTAAGAAGATAGTTGCTTTTGAAATCTTAAACAATTTTAACCAAGTAAGAGAAACCTGTACATTTCCAGGATTGTAAAAATTGACGTATGTAATCTCATTAAGATAGTTACCTGAGGTATATTTTTTGTATTCACTCCAATCAATCAACACGTTAGAAGAATATTTTCCAAATGGTTAACTAGCAATTGCAATTTTATGTAAAATGGTAAAATGTCTTTTAGAGTCACAAATTAGACAATATACATTATTGCTACTGCTATTAACACGATCCACTCATTTAGGAGTATTTTGAGCGAGCCGAAACTCGATTTTGAGTAAAATATTAAATAAAAATGGAGGGGGGCTGAGATGTTGTTTTCTGAAAAAGACCAGTTGGTTCCTTTAACAACCAATAATTCACCAGCTAAATGAACAAGAACAACGAATAAGTTCATTTTCTTAGTAGCGAAATTCTTCCTAGATAGACATATGATTTCCAAAAAAGGACCTTCTGTGAAAATGTTATTTCAATCAGAAAAGGAAACTAATGCTTATTTTGAGGCCAATTCGTTGTTGTAAAAAAGCTTCTAATGGAGAAACATTCCTAATATAAACGCTAAACTGCGTCTGTATTGCTAAAACATATTACTCTATAGCTTCAAAATGACTTACCATTCCATGACAGAGACTGACTGCCACCGAAGACAGCGGGTCTCCTTGCACCTTTCCTGAGTAGAAGCAGCCGTCAGCTCTCAGACCGAGGTGTTCCAGCTTGGAGGTGTTCTCCCACACGTGTGTCACCTGGGGGTAATGATGTGAAGTTAAAGAAGTGGTAAAAGAACACTTTAGAAATTTCTGAGGAGCCATCAGACCTTTGAGAAAGAGACTAAAAATCATTCTGAAATATTTATCACGCGTAAGGTGAAATAGGTAGGCCTACTGGCTTAAAATAAAAGATGAATGAAATAATCGGTACTTTATCTTAGGGTAGTAATTGAATATAGATGAACATGTGGTGAAAATGTTAGAGGTTAGAATGTTTGCTTGCGAGGAGAATCTCAATCATAAGATGATGGAAGGGAAGATGTCACGAAAACCTATGGTGTGTAAAGTATTGAAAATAAGTATAAGTATTCAAAAGTAGGGGTCAGTGTAAAAAATAGTAAATATTCCATGAAACTCAGAACAAGAAATTTGTAAATGAGCAGGAATAATACTCTAGCTGATATTAGGAGACTTTTTGTCTAATTGTTACACATTGAGAGGAGTTGGAAATGTTTAAAATGTTGTGTTGTATAAGTAAAATGTATGGTCAAAGAAAAAAATTGAGATTCAACTATCTTCCATAGCATAACAATTTTGTTTCTTTACCACACAGCTTACACAACAGCTGTTTGAGAATATTACATTACACGCCACCCAAGCAAAGTGAAATCACTCATTTCCACATACTGGAGGACGAGACGGAGGAAGTCTGTTTATGGAGTGGCAACAAATAGTCCACCTACGAGCCCCCATTTATCATAAGCCCATTTTGTGACAGTTACCTTTTAAATTGCGGTTTACAGCCGAGGCCCGTATTAGGACGCAAGAGTTAATGGCTGACATTTGTTTCTACGCCTACGAGATGAAGCTTTGCATCGGACCGTGTTGAACTGAGACTTCGGGAATTGTAGTAGTTGGTCTTCGTTGTAAAATATTGGTTTGATTTGGCTTTCACTACAACCATTGCATATCATACTCAGAGAATGCATCGGTTCCCATTCCACCCTCAAACCGCTTAAAGTATAATTATATTTTCCATATTAGGCATTGGGGTCACTAGCCTAAAAATACCTTTAAAATAGTGTGAAATTGAACAAGCGTCCACGGATTATAAACTGCGATTAAATTTTATGTTCTAATTAAGATAATGATTCAATAACTGATAAAGTTCGTGTACTTGCATATCTTTAGTTTGTCGGGGTTACTATATCGTGCGCGCCTTTGCACCAATGTGTCAATGGAGCTTTGGTTTAGAAATACTGTTACTGTATCTAGCAACCCACATTCAAGCATGTAGCCTACCTAGACACTTCTCTCATGGTTCCCTTCTGTGAATGTACCGTTGGGGTATTCAATAGTATCGTATTATTTTCTGAGGATAATTTACCAGAGAAACTTATATTGAAAAAGAATTTTTTTTGAAGAATTTTAAACCGCATTGCTTTCCAAAAAAGTGGAAAATGGTACATCTTAAGATGCCAGATACCCTAAATTAACGATAAAGACGCTATGAATCAGAATAATCTCGAAAAGATAATCTTGAAAAGGCAGAATTTAAGAAAACTGACTAAACACTTAATTTACCTTACAAAGGAAACATATCCACCAGTTGTCATCACGTTTCTTTTACACCTGAGATACTGGCGAGTGTATTCAAATTGATTTCTCCTCGAGTAACAAATCCAAGCCGACTCTTTAGCCCCCCACCGGGATGAAATAATTTGCACACGTTTAATGCAAATAAAACATCATTAGTTATTCTGACGAGGTCTGAAGGTCATGGACCGGTCGAACTGTCTGCCCAAAGCTTCTCTACAAGACCCAACTCTCAATGCTTCCTTGTTCGGGGCGAGCCACATTGGGGATAAAACCAAACATGTTGTCATCGCTATAAAATGTGATTTACGTTTTACTGAGTCGTTTGGAAACAAATATATGCTTATACACCGTAGAATAAACCTTTGAACCCAATACTGATTTGGAATTCTTTAAACGTATTCAACTATACGACGTATTTGTCACGTTTTTGAAAGGTAAGGGTCCACATCCTAGTTTCTTTACTGTTTATTGTTTATTGGCAAAAGTTTACAATTGTGAAATGATATTAGGAATTTAAATTTATCCATTTATTATATGGCTACCTCTATATAAAATTACGTGTGCCTCTTTTATCCCACAAAAACCATCGTACAAATTAAACACAAAGACTTTACAAAGTACTGTCGTCTTCATATTACTGTTTGTATATAAAGCAGCTACTAAAGGTTTTTCCTTCACCGGGTGATTTTACTAGGTAAGCCATTTCTAAACTAGTTTATATTATCATTGGTGGAAATCTAAACACTTATCTCTCGTAAATCTCTCGTGAAATGCCACTGGCGTAAAAAAAATCATATAACAATAATAAACAACTTTTCTACAATAGTATTAGAAAATTAAATCCTCAGTATTGTTATAATGTAAAAGAAGGGTAAAGGTACTTGCCTATGATATAAAACTCAGTACATTTAATTTTAAATCATTTACGTCGTCATTCACCAATATTTTAATTATTTTCAAGTAAAGTACAGTAAAATGCATATCCATTATTACGTTTCGAGTTAATAATTTTTCTCTCCTTTGTTTGATTTAGCTAGCATAACGGATTTTTTTGGCTGTAAATTGAAACCAATTTCCATAAAATCATACATTCTGGATACTAACAATATCTGTAAATACATCCAACCACGGGTTGACTAGATGCCCTTATACATTTTCCGATTTAGGTGTACTGTAATTCCTATGATGCTATCATACAGTTTATCCAGTAAATATCGCTTGCCACCAAAACATGACGGGAAAGACATTCTACCTCGTACGACAACACGAGTCAACCGTAATTACGTACACGACCAAAACCACTGCATGTGTATATTTTAACACCCACGCCTGCGATTAAAGCCAGTCTAATCCTCGGACTCGGACCGTAATGAGCTTTGCAGCTCGTAAATTTTAGTAATGATCCTGCCGCGATGTTCAGGACATAAAGCGTCCTTTGTACTTCCAAACATAAACTCTGTGTACGCCTTCTTTAGCACTGGTCGATACATCGTTAATGTTTTTCTATTGTACGGCAAAACATCTCATTTGCAAAACCGTTGGCTCAACACGCTGTGAACTCGAGGGTTGGACTTTGAAAATGTTGGAGCATGATCAACATTCGTTTTTCGATAAATGTCATAAAGTAAATGTTTTGTAATCTGTATTCGTTTATGTGCTATGAAAGGGCTTTAAATTGTTTAGCTTTTTAAACTCAACAAGACTTCAGGATGTAACGAAATGAACGAATGAAACAGCATGTAAAGGCATGATTTATTCTTAGATATTTTTGGATGATTTTCAGATTAGTAATTATTTTATAGTCAATGACTCCACTCACCTCTTAACTCTAGCAGAATTGATTTTCAGTATCCATTATAAATCAATGGTAACATCTAAAGGGCTGGAGCATTAGATAAACATCAGATTTAAGATCCAGATACAACAAGATTAAAATAACAGGAGCAACCTGAATGTTCAGTTACTCTTTAGACTGTGCAATGTAGAAAGGCAGCTACACTCTCAACTTGTTTGGATTCCACCATTAAAATACAAATACAAGTAAAATGTGTCGTGACAAACCAATTATTTAATTCATCAAACGTCTGAAACAAATACTCAAAACTCTTTCCGTCAAAATACATAGAATAATAAATTTTTTTTGAAAAACTTAACTTAGTTTGATTGTACATTTTGATAAAGTTTTGGAAGAGTAAAACTTTTAACCTACCTTGATATCAGGTAGAACGAAGCGTGAGTCGTGAGCAAGCAAAAGTCGAAAGTGTCGTCCAAAGGCGGTGAACTCATACTGGGGGTGAGGATCCCAGATGGTGGCCATCTTGTGACGGAAATGACCAGAGTGGTGCCTCAGCAGCGGTACAGGCTCTCCTGGACAAAAAAGTAAAAAGATAAAATAACAACTACATTAAGAAAAGAATTTAAGCGACAAACAGTTAAAAAGATATTTGATTGCGAAATCGATGCTTAAAGGCTTATACTTAGGCGAGGGTCCAAGATACTGATCATCTAGAAATGGAATTAATATGCAAAAAACTTAGCTGGAAGAATCTGAAATAGTTTACTACATGGTCCTCTTTATAAGTATATTTCTCTAAACGATCGATCCATGCCAAGCTTCAATAATTCATTAAAATAGCAACATAACACGCTATTCGCCCAACCATATCGCATACAAACATGATGAAATGTCCTACACGGAAGAACCTACTAAATAGCCAATCATAACAGTAAAGCTGCTTTGGGCCTCATCAATCAACCTGAATCTGTTGGTTCTCTTTCCTAGACCTTATGCAAATTTAGCTTTCACTCCCTCAATCGATTTTTGAGACCTACACGGACATCGTGAACATCAAACAGCGAGAAATATTTCCAAGGAGAAATCTTTGGTTGTGTTTGGTGCAATGTGAATGGCCATTAACCAAATCAATCAAGTATGTAAACACTTCCTATTCTTCATAGTTACAAACAATTACTATGTGTGATAAGGAGTTTGTAACGTCATGTTTGGAGACACCCGGAAGTTCGTTGAGTAGGTTTGCTGCGAGAGGCCAGTAATCACCAAGGTCTGCATGATCGTTGCAGGAGGATGCTGTAAGTTAGAGGGTCTAGACTGTAGACAGTCGCCCACTACACAGTGCACGCTATCTGTACACAAGTGAAGCATTGCATGCAGACGGTAGTCATGTGTCTTGTCATGAACTGTGGTTGCCGCCAAACGTAACTCATGTATAGAGCCACTACCCGCGCAAATCTGATCAGCCTACAAGACGTATGACAGGGGAGAAGCGACGATCCATGGTCGTAGCGTGAGGCGAGTCAAGATCAATATTTTTGATGCAGAATTGAAAGTCATAAACTGGAGTGTTTATCATGACTTCATTTGAAGTAGGCTTTGCCTTTGCCCAAGCAAATTCAAATGCATTTTCTTCTATCAAACCATCAATCCGTTCTCATTCTGCCTTCCTTTTTTATTATGTAGGGTCAAAAATGGGCCAAATGTCTTAATTCCTCAGGCTTTTAATTTGGCCCTGGCTGAAGAATCTGTTTGGTTTGAAAATCAAGCCTCCAATTTCATTTGTTCTACACTGTCTTTAATTAACTTAAACGACGAACTCTAACTTCCTTTTCCTAAATTCTAAAGAACATAATACAGACTGAACTTATGTAACTTAAATCATCTAACTTATGTCTTGTCCGTTTATGTGATATATTAGACCAAGGCCTCAATATGACTGCTTACACCCTGCGGCTCCACCCTCTCCCTGCATTGTTCTTTCATCATTATCTACTTGATCCATCATCCACTAATCTACATCTTAACGACGGCTTGTTCAATAATACATTTAACTATCATCGAATCTCACGAGATTGAAAAGTTTTTTTTAGGAAATTGTGAGTATTAAAAGTTAAACTTAATTTTCTGTCCAAGAATCTGTGTGATTGTTCCAGGTAAAGCTACTGGACCTGAAGGGATTTAATCTTTCACAAACACACATAAGTCCATCCATGTTCTTGACATGTTCTTACCCTTTTCTCCGTGGGCGTCCATAGTTCTGACATTAAGCCTGGATGGATTAAATATTGATAAATCTTTTAAGCTAAACAATAAAATCACCACAACAACAAACAAAAGTGTTTACATTGTTCTTATAAATTTTCATATATATATATTTTTTAAAGATGTTAAATTTTACTCTTTTTGAGAGCTTATTGGTGTGTGCTAAAAATGTATTAGCCCACAATTAATGTGCTACGATTTTGTTTTATTTGTAATCGTTAGTTTATTGTGGGGGTGAAAATCCTTTCTTTAGAAGACTTAATTGACCACTTGCTCTCATTGAAAGGCAACTGATAAAGAAATAATGGTCATGTTTACAAAGTGTTTATGTATATTTCTAGATAAACCTTATGATATGAGTAAAATCTGAAACAAAGGCTCCTATGATAATGCGGTAAAACTCCAAGGACACAGTTTTTCAACCCTGCATTTAAATTAAAATCTTTGATACATTCTTGTGTATTCAGTTGTATCCATCAATCACATACTTGTGTGAAGGGACAACAACCAAGGCTGCAGTAGACTAGAACGTCGGCAAACATCAAAGGCCGTGATGTGAGCATCTAATGTCTGCTGTCTGATCGTTTGATGAGTTTTCAATTGTTCAGCGCTGGCAGATCTATTTGGTCGCGCCGTCTGTGATGTACCGATGCGAACTATGTGGCTGAACATTTTCGCCTTTCTTATACTCTTAAGTTAATATTTTCTTCTTGTGGTAACTTTTAAAAATATGAGTTCACTGGATTCCTTGTGTGACCACTCTTCACATTCAAATTTCAATGCGGTGTACGTTTCTAGGAAAACATTAAAAAACTGAATGCGATCTTTGAAACCACAATATATTATTTCCTTAAGTTACATAAACAGGAAAATTTAGATTTCAAGGATTATTTTTACTAAAACATGTTACTTGTGGAAGCTAACAAATGTAATTTAAAATGTAGTAAAAAAAGATTAAAAAAAAAGATAGAATAATGTGAGGAATAAAGGTGATAAATTTCAGAAGTTATTTTCACCAACAAATTATACCAGGTGAGGTACCAGAAATAAGTTATTTTTAAGTAAAAGATCACATTTAACTATTTTATTGTCAAAACTAATTCAACCTGTTCATAACTTAGTGTTGAGTAGAAACCAGGGTAATGTATTTTCAAGGATTATTTTCAAACAAAACTATACGAGTAACCAATATGCAAATTAAAAATTTAATTTAAATTTCATTTCTAAAAGAAGGGGGTTTAAAAAGTGAATTGACTCTCAACATAAATTAGTGTTCACGAAGGAATTAAGCACCAGATATTCACACTGTTCATTATCCAATTATTAGGGCGGACAAGAGCTCATCGCCAGTTTCAGAATGCCCAATTTAATTTGGCCGTGTCGCTCCGCCCATTGATTCAAATCCGTTTGACGCGATGCCCGTGTGTCGGGCAGTTGGGCAGTTTGCCGCTAGACGATCAAGTCAAGTCTTCATTAAACCTTTCCGAGGAATAAGCGGAACCATTTAGCCGAGTGTTATAGCTTTTGGCAGAATCTGGATCTGGATTAACTTCAGAAGTATACAGTTCTGGATAGTGCTAATAATGTATGGTTGCTTAAGCGGTTCGTAGTACTGGTAAATGTTTGCCGTTTATGATGCGCTATTTCCTAAACGCTTTGCAATTAACAATTCTGGCAACACGACAACTTATTATATTAAATCTACTACTGGCTTAATAGTGTAGGATCAAAGACTTGTAAGAAAAGCGAACACAATGATAAAACAAGGTGAACAGTTAAGTATTTATCATGAGTTTATCGTCGTATTTTATATCCACTGCTTTTATAAAATGGCCTAAAAAATATTTTAATCTTGTTCGGATGAATACACAAAAATGTCTTAGTATTACTTATACAAGAAACAAAACCCATTGAGTCGTGCAGTAAAATTTAATTTAGGGATCTAAATTATGAAAAATCCCTATTGTTTGAACTTTTCTTAGCTTGAAAACAGGATGTAAATATGTTTCACCCCGTAGTGTAGGTAGGGTTGGTAGTAGTTTGATAACAAATATGCTTTTTTTGATTTGATTGATAGTAAATCACTAACAAATATGTGCAACACAGTAAAAGCCAATAAATTAATCTCTACACTTAAAATACAAACATAATACACTCTCTTTAGACTTTTAATGGAAGGACTTTACCACTACAGAGAAATTTCTCATCACCCCGTCACGTAAAAAACCAAGATGGACCTAGAGTTTACTGTCTAGTAAGGTAAAGCTACAGCCAGGGTACGCTGCGAATCACTTGTTAACATTATCACATAGAACCAGCTAAATCCCATTGGTGCCCAAAAAAAAATATTTGTACCCAAGCCGCCAAGACAGGAGTCCCGCGCCCCGGGAGTAATTTAATTAAGTAACAGACACGAGTTCGTTCCACAATTTGAAACGGCAAATTTCGTCCACGTGGTGGGTGTGGCCGAGTTGGCAGTCGGCCACGCTCCGTGTGAACTACATTATCTGGACATCAGTTTATGATGATATCAGCTGATTGTGGGTGGTCCCGGGTCTACCTGTTCGACCTACAACCCTGTCATGTGTAGGGTTAGGATCTATGGGTGTTATCTGCTAGGAATCGGAAGACATATTGGGGTGCAGATCAATCAGGTGAAGAAATCTGATGGACTTTGTTGATTCAGATTCAGCTTTTGTGTGACTTTCTAGGAATGGAGGTTCAAAAGTTTCAAAGATACGTAGTGAAATGTCATGTTTGGATATGGGTTGGTACAAGTTGAAGATCACTTCCGAGTAGTATAGTAGTTTCAATGCTTTCACGGTCAAAGTAGTTGTAGCATCTTGGTGTGCCGGAGATGACATCTTCGTTAAGTTTGCGAAAGAGCTGGCCGAAGTCTCCGGTGAGTTTGAATATTTGAGGGTTAAATATTGTTTCTCGCTATGAAAATGAATTTTTGCTTGAATGCTTCAGAAACTTCGTCTAGCCCTAATTCGGCGTCACTAACCAACGGGCAAGATTCAATGTGATCGTTCCGAACATTTATGAGAAGGAAAGGTTTGCAATACTATATTTTTACATTGGTTGATCTTTTCTCTTTAAAATTTGCAAATTGTGCTGAATTAACTTGACAATCTTAACTTACTCATTTTAAATGTTCCAAAGCATGTGTTTGTTTTATATCTTACTCGTTTTTACTAGACTAGAAATAATCCATACTAAAATTTGTATTGTGACTTTTAGATATTTTTGAGTACTTATATTGAATACCTTATACTAATACTGTACCATATCATACAATATCAACTGTCTCATACCGCCTGGGAACGCAGGGACTCCTTTTCTTGCATCTATTCAGACAACAATTAGTCTTAATCTGAATCAGAGCTCTAACAATGCCTTCATAAACAATTACTGGGGGACTTGGACGCGCCTGCGCCCGACGCGCAACGTAGAATTATGTGGGAGAGCCACAACACAGACGCTCTAGGCACAATGCGGTATAAATCTCAATTACTCTGGTAGCTGGTGTAGACAGCGCCTGGCTTATTTGTGTGTCTGGGTGACATATTGCCACATGCAGGTGACGACTGTTTTCGAGCATAGCTCGAGAATTCGAGGTGATAAAATAATAATAGTTGTCAAAATCTCTAAGAATCTAAAGTTGCGTAAATCCAAACCCTAGAGGGAATTTGATGAGTATACGGATACATTTGAGTTTAAAGTGCACAAATTTATACACTCTTGCCCTTAGTTTATTAAGAGATTGAAACACATATGATCCCGAAGATGGATTACTGCAGTGTGTCCGATGTTATCTACAGAACACAAAGAGTTCTGAACATTATATTAGACAAGAGGTGACTCACCCGGAGGCTGGGGTCCGGGCGGCGGACGCTCGTAGAGGAGGTCGTGTTCGTGCGGAGGCGGAGGCGACGTCTTGACCGGTGTCACCAGCTCTACCTGCTGCAGCTGCAGGGACGGCGTATCGGCGTTCTCGGGGTCTGTAAACAAAAGATGTGATGTAACCTCTACAGAAACAACAACAATAACCAAAATGTTTAAGTAAACATAGCAACGTCGAAGCAAACATCGTTAATCGTTGTTGGTACTCCAGAAGAAAATATAATAGTCCAGTCAAGGAATGAGGTGTAGAGTGCGTGTGCAGGTAACTAAGCGATTCCTTCTGAAATTTGTTCAGGGGGCTTAGGGTGTTAACATACCAAAAGTCCTGACTCCTAGGTGGTGAGCCAGGGGGTGGAGGGGAAAAAAAGGGGGGGGAAAAGGTACGCATTTTGGGTTTTTTGATTATATCTCGAAAACTATCAACTTTTTGTATACTATAGTAAATTATAAAATTAAAGAAGATAAAATTTTCTACAAGAAAAGTATATAATGTGTTTATTTTGGTTCAACAGATTACGAGTTATAACTTATTTAATTGATATCTTATTAAAATACTCCTTCCATAAGAAATACATGTAAATTAGTATGCGAAATGGGGCGAATCCTATCCGCCCAAAGGAAATATAAATGATATTCTGGAAATCTTGACAACATTTCCAGTAATTTGACACTTTAATCATTAAAATTGATCCAAAATTAAGGCGAGGGCGAGGTAACAAAATGTCGAGTTTTGGTGTTTTTTTATTGGAAATATAAAAAAAAAACTTAAATCATCCCATTTTTAAACGCTCACACTCGCTTTAATTTTTGACAAAATTTCATGATTTAAAAGTCAAATTACTGGAAATTTTGTCAAGATTTCCAGAATATAATTTATATTTCCTTTGGGCGGATAGGATTCGCCCCATTTCGCATACTAATTTACATGTATTTCTTATGGAAGGAGTATTTTAATAAGATATCAATTAAATAAGGTATAACTCGTAATCTGTTGAACCAAAATAAACACATTATATACTTTTCTTGTAGAAAATTTAATCTTCTTCAATTTTATAATTTACTATAGTATACAAAAAGTTGATAGTTTTCGAGATATAATCAAAAAACCCAAAATGCGTACCTTTTCCCCCCCCTTTTTCCCCCCTCCACCCCCTGGCTCACCACCTAGGAGTCAGGACTTTTGGTATGTTAACACCCTAAGCCCCCTGAACAAGTTTCTGAAGGAATCGCTTAGTTACCTGCTCACGCACTCTACACCTACTTTTAGATCATTGATTGACTGGACTATAAATGCAGCATTGTTGAACGGCTGATGGTTCTTTAGCAGTAAAATTTTTACTTTAAAACATTGTCGATGACTCTTTAAAAGTAAACGTCACGTGATCAGCTGATTGTACTAGTACTTCTGCAGTTAACATCGTCAATCAGCTGATTTCTAAATGGACGTTATGGAACAGCATATGTTATTAGTAGAGTGTTTAACTGATGGTATAGTAGGTAAACAAAAAAGATGATCAGCGGATGAAATGTCAGTGGTATAAAATTAAGCCTTGAACTTCGGAGGTGTATACAGTATCCCAGCAATGATTAGCTCATTATTCCAAAGGGACGCGGTGTCTGTCTAGGTCCACAAACTTGTAGTCATTTAAGTTACAACAACAAAAGATCTACTTGATCAGTTCACAGCAGTTTCCTTATTGTAAACAACGCCAGGTTTACAACAACTCCCACAAAGCAATGTCAATTGAGACATCAAGTAGCCAGACAATAGCACAATCTGGTTACGGAAGCGGACTTTAACTATCAGGAGAGTTGACCTTTGCTGTTCAAGGGCTGACTCACTGAGTCACATGTGTAGGTAACTAACTACACGATGGTGTCGTTTCTCGCAGATGGTTACAAGATCGTGTATCGTGTCGTCTGCTATCACAAGACCACCATCTGACCGGCAACAAGCTTCATTAACACACTTCCGTGAGAATATCGGCTATCTTGGTTCAGAATATGATTCGACAATCAACGAAAACATAAAACATATTGGTGAAAGAAAATTAAGTGTTAAACGAGTTTTGTAGGTATTGCTGAGCCAAAAGTTTGATTTAACTGAGATGAAAATGTGTTAAGCGAATTTCCCTATAGTAGCTATAACCGTAGGTGGCACGGTAAGACCTAGAGCCGGGACCGATATAATTTTTCATTTTGATGTCCCTAGAAGCCAAAAACACTATTCGTTTGAATTGTTATAGTATCTTTAGTTATAGTTCTCTATTAATCCATTTTTATGAGCTTAAAAACCCAAATACTTTGAGTATAAGTGTTTTTGTATGGTTATTGGTTACGAAGAAAATTCCAAAAAATTTAAATTTATAATTCGCATGTTATTTTTATGGAGAATAAGTAAAAAAAAACTAATGTAGTTTGCTTGTTTATGGATATATTTTGATTAAACTTGGCAAATTTATTTATTTTATACTAAGCTATTAATCTTTTACTAAAATCACTTTACTACCGGTACCCTCCATGTAGCAGCAAACCTAGGTACTTGTTAAAAATAATGTTATTTAAATAGATTTAATTGAAATCTAATCAGGCAAATGGAAATTTGCGTAGTCTGCAGGTATGCTGTGGTGGGGTATTTTACATTTTCAATTGTTACCTTGAAAAGCAATAATTGGAATTATCAAATATCAATTTATTTTGACTTTAGTAAGTCAAAAAACTTAAGACTTGACTAATTAAGACAATTATTATTTGTCCAATTTCAGTCTATTTTACAATGATAGCCAATCTGACGAAAAAGAATATGTATTTATTTTGACTGCTGGACCAATCTTGGTACTTTTAGGTAGGGAACTGAATTTATTGAAACAAAGATTTTCAATACATAACGATGAGTTAGGATTTGTAATCATGCACTAACTATATGATTTGTTTTTTACCTTCCTCATAAAATTGATTCATATAGGACGTTTAATCAAGTATGTTCTTCATGTTTAGATGTTCGTTTAGTACTAAGGTTAACTGAGCTGCGGTTATCAAGATTAACTGAGTTACTGTTCATCTAGCTAAGGGGAAATGGGCTTCCCTAGTACCCGAGCCATGCGAAATAGAACTAGACAAATTTATGGATAGTCATAAAGACATTTCTAATTATGTAAATTAACCGATGACTCAATTCAACTAGTCGCCAAGGCTGTGGCAAGGACTTCCGCTCTGGGTTAATTAATATGAGGGCGTTAGTGTGAGTTGACATCACATTGACTCTAGATGGACCGGGTCGAATTGAGTATGCTACATATTTATTGCATCACGATGTTAATGTAGTTACCGTTTAGGTCTCCCCCCATTCAGTTAACGTAATTAACTCTAAATTACTCATTCAAGTTTGTATACGCAATTTATCATGGTAAATTTAACTTACGACAACTCAATGAAAATAGTGTAATGAGACACAAGTCATTGTAAGTTTTTGATAGCACGCATGAGGGATTTACTGTCCTGTTAAATATCCGTACAGTACAGTAAAGGCAAAAATAAGCTTTATAAAGAACATATTTTTACTGAATAACTGTAATGCTAATTTTTATTAAGACGAAGTAGAGATATATTAGACCATATCCCAACCTCTAAGTAAAATATAAAAAAAAAACAACCTTTCGAGATAAGAACACCATAGTCAACCAAATCTATTATTAAAATAAATTTTAGATCTAAATGATTTAAAACCAATGTGTTAGAGTTTTAGCCAGAGAGCACGGAATAGAAAGATTTTCTATTCTGTGCTCTATGGTTTTAGCTCACCCTTTCATAAAAAAAACGTGTTTCTAAAATATTTTTATAAAATACTTGGTATACAATTTTATTAAGCTCGCAAAAGGTTACACCACACATGCTACCCTCTCCAGGATATTTTTTTACTCATAGCCTTTCTTTAAATATATTTTTTTTAATTCTTCATTAGGCCTAAAACGTTTTTACTTGATATTTTTTTGTCAATTTTTGAAGAAAATATGTCTCCTTCAATAACCGGTTCCCGAACTAGATTCCTGCACCAATACGATTCCAAACCAACTATTCCACGTTAAAAGCGCTTCATGTTGAATTCCCTACAATCAGATAGTACGAAGTGATTCAAGTTTTCACCCGAGGAACACTTAGCGGAACTTTTCACCGGCGTCTTATATCAAGTTGTCAAATGCGTACATTAGGGACCTCCCAGTTCAAAGATGCACCTTCGACCCTCGAATGTGTAAGCGAGATAGCATCTCTCACCTGTGTGGGAATATTGCAACAGCCTCCGGGTCTGAACTGCCTCTAGCCACGTGTGACAATGCGAGATCTCAAAGATATCCTAGATGAGAGTTACTGTCCATTAAGATGTAGATAGTAAGTGGCGAATGTGCCGTGCAGCCTTCGTCCGCTGGCAACGGCTGGTTGTCACAGGCATATTAATGTTATAAACACAAGGTAACAAAGACATACACGGCAGGTGAGTCAGACAGGGAAGTATGAAGGGTTTGTTTGTGTATCACTATCAGGAAGCTGTGTCGGAGCTCACGCTCGTGTAAATCACGGTGGAGATTTATCGGTTGTCGCACAGACAACTCAGTTATATTTTGATTTAATGATGCCGGAATCAATTGCTGCGTGGATAAATCATTCGGTTACCACGTTAAGTTAGGGTTACAAGTATTATGGTGTACAGCACCATAAATACCTATTACGTTCCACAAGTAACTACAAGTTATCAATCACAAACCATTACTTACAGGAACTCTGGTGTAACGCTAACACAACGTAAGTAACAAAAATGGTGTTGAATAATATTTTTTAGTTCAATTGATACAAACATTTATGCTTGTGAAACATTTTTCGTGTTTATACACCAAAAGATGTGACAGAAACAGCAAAGCATGTTTAGTTACCTTAACACCATATCCCTAGCAACATCATTAACTCTAGAGCTGATATCACTAACAGAGAGCTAATATTATGTTCCATGGCAACTGTAGGAAAATTATGATTCGTGCGCAAAGTACGTTTACTGCGCTTAAGATACCATTCCAAACCAAATATCTTTCTTATGCTTCACAGAGCC